TTTTGATATATGAATACACCGTGAATTTATTAAATCAAGCTAATTAACATACCCATCAACTCATATACTTATCATTTTTGGTGGTGAGAACATTTTAAGATCAACTCTTTTAGCAATTTTAAAGTATTTCAATATGTTACTATTAATTGTAGACACCATTCTGTACAACAGAGCTCCAGAATTTATTTCTTCTATTTAACTGAAACTTCATACCCTTTAACCAAAATCTCCCCATTCCTACCTGACTCCAGCTCCTACCAACTACCATTCTACCCTCTGCTTCTATGAGTTCAACTTTTTTAGATGCCGCATATTAAGTGAGATCATGCAGTAATTGTCTTTCAGTGCCTGGCTTATTTCACTTAGCATAATGTCCTCTAGGTTCATTCATGTTGTTGAAAATGACAGGATTTCTTTCTTTTTTAAGGCTGAATAGTATTGCATTGTGGGTATATACACCACATTTTCTTTCCCCATTTATCCATCAGTGGACATGTTGGTTGATTCTATATCTTGGCTATTGCGAATAACGCTGCAATAAACATGAGAGTGCATGTATCTCTGTACTGAAAGTGAAAAACAGAATAGTTGTATGGGTTCATGAAGTACATTTCTACTGAATGCATATTGCGATAAATCAGTTGTTGCAAGAACCAAAATAGAGTATAAAAATCAATAAAGCAAATCAACAAAACCAAAATTTGATTCTTTTAAAAGGTCAACAAAATTGCTAAACTTTTAGCTAGGCTGACCTCCCCAAAATAGATGACTCACATTAATAAAATCAGATATGATAGTGAAGACATTACTACCAATCGTACAGAAATAAAATAATTATAATAGTGTACACTGAGCAACTGTATGTGAACAAATTAGATAACGTAGATGAAATTAACAAATCTCTAAAAAGACATAAACTGTGATTTAGATTCAAGAATTCTGTTGCCATTCCACTGTGTTAGAAGAACACACTTTGTATGATTTCAATCCTTTTAAATTTATTGAGACTTCTTTATGTGCTGGCAATGGCTTGTCTTGGAAAATGTTATTGTACACTTGAGAATATTATATATAGTCATGTGTCACATAACAACAGGGATACATTCTGGAAAATGTTAAAAAAAAATCAGGATGACTTTATATCTGTCTTTCTGTGGTTCTATAATTCTTTATATTTTACCTTTCACTACATCAAAACTTCCTAAACTCTCTCCCTGAATCTCAAGTGTATTAAGTATATTCCTAGGGATTTTATTTTCTTTGTAGCTATTGTAAATGGTATTAAGTCCTTGATTTGACTCTCAGCTTGACTATTGTTAGCATATAGAAATGCTACTGATTTTTGGACATTGATTTTGTAACCTGAGAGTTCTGAATTTATTTGTCTATTCTATGTGTCTTTTGGTGGAGTCATTAGGATTTTCCAGATACAAGATGATATCATCAGCCAGCAGGGATAGTTTGATCTCCTCTTTCTCGATTTGGATGCCCTTTATTTCTTTCTCTTGCCTGATTGCCCTGGCTAGGACTTCCAGTATGTGTTGTATAGAAATGGTAACGGTGAGTATCCTTGTCTTGTTCCAGTTCTTAGGGGGAATGCTTTCCACTTTTCCCCATTCAGTATGCTGTTGGCTGTGGATTTGTCATTTATGGCTTTTTAAATTTTGAGGTATGTTCTCTCTATGCCTAGTTTGTTGAGGGTTTTTTATCATGAAATGGTGCTAGATTTTAATGAATACTTTTTCTGTATCTATTGAGATTATCATATGGATGGTCTTTGTTTTTGCTTTCGTTTATGTGGAGAATCACATTTGTTGATTTGCATATGCTAAATCCCTGGGAT